AAGTGAAATCATAATGCAAACTGAATTATTTTTGATTCACATGTTTAGCATCCCAGTTGTGCCTACCTGCATCTCAGGTCTACAGAAGAAGACTTTCCCTGGAGAATACCTCATAGTCCCTTACCATGGATTTCATCTAGGTTCTGCTAGGCTTTGCATTTACAGGTAGAAATAGAAAATTCTCAGTACAATTGATATTTCCTATGTAGGTAAATAACACGCTGAAGCAGGATCACAAATGCTGATCATGTTTCTGTGGTACCAGATACCTTGTTCAACAGATAGAAATGTTGCCATCATAATTTTTATTAAAGCTTACTTTAATGCAGCCTTGACTGCACTGATCAGCTTTAATGAGCCCTGACCTGCCTCACATGAGGCCTGGAGCTACAGCCTTTGCCTGTGGGCCCAGGAATCCATTCCAGCTCTGCCCTGCACCTTCAGTTCCTTGCTGAGCTAACTGTGGGAGCTCACTGGGGACCAGCTGCTCCCTGAGGGGTGGGTATAATGACTGACCAGGAGGGCAAGGATGTAATGAAGCCCCAAAGGTTATAGCCAGTGGCATTCCACAGTTCTATCCAGAAAAGAATGATGAAATTCTGAACCTTGAATGGTGCTCTGAGCCCTAAAGGGTAATGCACTCTATTAATTCCAGCTTTTTTCATTATCTTTTGAAGTAATGACCTTATCTGCCATGATCTAATTCTCATGACTCACTGTTCTAGATCCTTTCTCTTTCCTTTGTTGGTCCTGTTATGTGAGCAAATACAGCGCCACAGGGTAAGCCAAACTTGCTGCATGCCAATTACTTTGTGGTAATATTAAATGTAGGTCATTGGATAAAAAATGGAAGTAGCAAAAAATGGAAGTTGATGCTATCCTGTTAGGTATCCAAGGGCTTTTATATCTGATGTGTCCAGTTGGTTCCAGTTTCTATATTTAAAACATAAACATAATAATATTTCATCCATAATTAAGCCATCATTATGCAACAGAATCTGACCTTATATCCACCACATTGCTCCAAAATTTGTATATATGTAAGTCAGCTATAAAATTGTATATACATTTTTGAATAGTTAATGTTTTCAGTCAAAGAGGAAATCAGTAGCCCTTCTGCTGTGTTTGGAATCCTGTCTGTTTTATGAGGTGGGGAGAATTGAAAAATATAAAGTAATTATATATAATATTTTTAAATGTAATTATGTATAACATGGGTAATTACCCAAGATGTATCAGTGCAACACTTTATATTTGTCATTTTTCTTGTACTTAATCCCAAAACAAGTTTTATTGGAAATGGATTAGTGAATTAGGTGAGCAGCATAACTTTTATGAGTCTTCTGACTGTTCTTTTTATCCTTATTTCCCTTTTTTCTTCCCGCTTGTCAAGAAAAGAGAAAATGGTTCGTGGATTCTCTGGGATCAAAAAGCTACTCCAGGACCAAAGTGAATGTAAGTGGAGATCAAAAATGAGGATAATGATTCAGGAATTGAATTAGAATCTCGGGGGTGTGTCCTCCTTTACTTACACACTAAGTTGAGAGATTTTAAGTCAGTTTTACTAATACAGCTTTTTCATTTGAAACATGGAATCAAAGGAAGGTTTGGGTTGGCAGAGACCTTGAAGATCATCCAATTCCTGCTGCCACCCCAGTGCTGCTGTGGGCAGGAATGCCCCCCACTAGCTCAGGGTTAATGACTAACTCTTGTTCTACCATTTTCAGAGGCAAACTTTGTTGGACTGCAAAACAGCAGTAGAATGTAATCCAGGGAATCAGTTTAACTTTGCTGTTGCATATTAAAAAAAAAACCTCACTGAGCACTGGTGTTCAGACAAAGAGTGAAAGAATTGGGCTGTATTGATTGTGTTTTAGGAAAGCTGTCTGCAATGTGTTAAACAAAGGTGCAAACTTATGTATTAAACATTTGCAACAGAAATATGGTTTTTTTATGTCTTGGAATTCAGGGTATGGCTCTTTTAATAGTAACTAGTAGCTAGTCAGGAGATTGCAGAAGTTATGAAGTCTGAGTGTTCAACAAGCAGGAGGTATCAAAAATGGAAGGCTTATAGTCTTTTGCTCATGTTTGTTTTTGGTTTTTTTTATGGAAAGGAAATTAGTTCATGTATCTGAACAGCAAAGCTACAAACCTGTGTACAGTTAACCAAAGACTTATAAAAACTGTACTGACATGACCACCTTCTCTCACAATTTTCTTTTTACCAAAATTAATGCAGCAATAATAATTCAAGCAGAAGCATTTTCTGGTTAGATTTTTTGATTTTTATTTTAAAATGTTTTTGTCATCTGCTGCCCCAAGTTCAGACACATTCTGTAATTTACTTGTGTTCCATGTGATTCTCACAAAATCTATATTTGTATAGTACACTTTTAGATTAGGCTTGGTGACATCCTTGTTTTGTCATCTTATGACATTCATCTTATAGATGATTCCTAGATCAGTTACAAGAAAAAAAAAGCTAAATGCTCATTGAAACATTCTAGCATTATCTGCTGAAATTCTGTTCTTGATACTAAGTTGAGTTTTTTGAGTAATGAAACTAATGAACCTGAGTCATCTGTGAATTTATTTTCTGTTGTTGCATTTTTTGGTGCATGAGATCTGACTGAAACTTTTCCAGGGTTTGAAGTATTGTCTGAGAAGTCTGGACTGAAAATACTTCACCAGTGACAAATTATGTTCTGCTAAAACACCATCTTGTACCAAAGTCTCAAGTTCTTTCCTTCTAATGCCCCAAAATTCATAAACAGCCTGCTTGAAGATATCTCAGTAGTTTACTCCTTTTCCAATGTATCTGAAGATCTGTTCTTCTCTGTTCTGCTATGCCCATACAGGAGTCTCAAGTCTCCATCCACCCCTGCATTCAGGTCCAGTGTTTAATTGAACAACCATAAATGTTACTGTCCACCTGTGTGATAACACAGGTAACTTCTTGTAAGTACTTGTAAAACCTATTGCAATTTTCTTAATTTGCTTTCTATTTTCACTTAGTTTGTTCTATTTTTTCTGAAGAAACAATGTGTTAGGACTTTGCTCCAGCCCTTGCTCTTCTCTTGATTTTCCTAATAAGCTTGTCAATTTAATACAAATCTTACATTTAATTAAATTCCTTAGGCTTTTTCTCAAATTGATGACCAGATAGAGAAGGTATTATAAAATATTAACAGAGTTAAACTTATGTGTGAGTACGTGTCTTAATCAGACAATTAGCAGTGGCATGTCCCTATGTCCTAGTCACAGAAGAAGTTCCAGCAGCATCTTGGACACTAGTGCCAGTGAACAAAGAAACTGCACTTTGTCATTCCTTTGTGCAAGGATCTATTTCTCACCTTTTCTTATTAATGCTCTTTCTGGGCTAAACATCATTTCTCTACTTAGCATGTCTCAGCAGCTGTGATCATTTTCATTTATACATTCTATTTCTCAGTCTTCATTTCCTCTCATTCCTGGAGTGTAGACTTTCAGCCTCTGGAGATCTAGAGTCTCTCCTTTTCTCTCAGCAAGGGAGAACAAATCAAGGGTTTGTTTCCCTGCCCCAAGGTCTTATCTTCTTACATCTCTACAGTGTTCCTTCTCCCCACTGCCTTGTAGATATTCTTCTGCCCTGATATTTTCCATGTAGGAGTGTTATTCTTAACAGTTCTTTGTCTCTCTTTGCCCTCAACAAGTTTTTTTCTTTCTGTTCTTCTTCTGCCCTACCATTAACTGACACCTGATAATCTTTCTCCTCAATTCTGATAGTCCTCAGGATGCTCTTTTTTTAAACCCACCACTGGCAAAGTGGAAGCTTCTCACCCAAGAAGGATGGCAAGAACTGCCAGGAGATCAGACTGGAAAGCTGCCTGCCTTTCCAGGCAGGGGCAGCAGGGCAGAAGCAGCCTCATGACCCCCCTGGCTGGCTGCAAGTCAGTAGGGCCTGAGGCCTCAGCATTTCCATGGGATCTCTTGCACTGCCTGCAGTGACACATCAGAGGGTGTTGGGCAGCTCTTGGTTTCCCTCATCTCTTCTTTCTCCCTTTTCCTCTTTTCTACCTCTCTTACTTCACTCTACTTGGCCTTCTCCTACTTCTTTGTCTTCTAGACTTGTTTAAACATGTTCACCAACAGTTTTCTTGTATAACACTTCACTGAAGCATTCTCTTTAAAATCCCATTATCTTAATAGCTTGCCTTTCTTGTGTGTGTATTCTTCTGCCTTTTCTGTCCCTTTATTTATTTTACATGTCCAAGCCTGATCTCTAAAGAAAGGAAGAAAGGAAGAAAGAGAAGAAAGAAAGACCTGTAATACTGTCAGTTTTCTTCAGGCACCTTTCCAGTGCATTTAGTACAAGTGAAGGGAACAGAGTCTCCTTGGATAAGGTAGGACACAGCTCCTGGGCTCAGCTGTGCTCGTGGGCCCCTTGGCTCCCATTCTGCTTTCAGCGCAGCAGCAAAAGCTAAGCAAAGGTTTTCTTCATCACCTATGGGCTCATCCTGGTTTAGAGAGGATTGCCAAAATAACAGAGCTTGTGAAAGATGCCAACGCTCTCTTCTCAGATGACCTCTTCAGTCCTTTTGACACTTAACAAGGCAGCATGATCTGATCTTCAGGCAATCTCTCCTACAACAGATCCCCGGCAGTGTCTGTGCTACTGTCTCTAGGCTGGCTCAGCGTCTCCAGCGGGGAATTTGTAGCACCCAGCCGCTGGCGTCTTCTCCTGGCGGAAGCTCAACCATTTGAAGAGAAGGGGAGGGAAAAAAAAATCCCAATCAGGACGCTTGCACATGCTGTTCTCTGCTTGCTCGCCTGGGTGTTCTGCTGAAGGACTGGGACATCTGCAGAGGAGGGGGAGCGGCGGGGCAGGAGCGTGCCCTGCTCGGGGCTGAAGTTCCTGCAGCGCCGGGGCTGTGAGTGCGCTCAGCCGGGGGGCGAGCAGCGGGGCCGGGATCGCGCTCCCCGGAGCGTACGCAGACAGACGTGATTAAAATTCAAGCCTAATGGCCTCTGGCATAAACAACATTCATCAGCCCGGGACTTGCAATGGATCTAAAGCCGCTCGCAGCTGCTCGGCAGAGGAATGCAATCGTGAAATGCACGTGAAAATGTGCAAGAAGATTGCCCAGCTCACTAAGGTAAGTCTCGCTGTTGCAGTTTTTCCAGGGAGGTGAGGCTGCCCTGGCCGGGGGTGTCAGGGAATTGTCTCCTCTGGTGCCGTGTGTGAGAGGAGGGAAGGGAAGGGGCTCCTGTCTTTCTAGGCTGTTGCCAGAACATCGCTGTGCACAAACTTCCCTGCGCACAGTTCCCCGCGGGGGCTGCAGCCCATCCTTAGGGGTTGCCTTTGTGGCAGCCGATGGACGCCTCGCACTGAGCTGCTCTAATTACCGTGCCACCATAGGGGGAAGAGCTCCAGCTCCGCGAAGACGCGGGGCTTGTCTGGGAGCTGTTGAGAGGGATCGACAGTATCCGCTTTGCTTCTAGAATTACGAAGACTGCAAGTAATTTGAGTTTTCTATGTTCTCAAGCAACATTGTTGCAAAGCTGCAGCCAACGCGTGGTGCTACAGTACAATAGTACTCTGACTGGCGGCTAATTGTTCCTGATGTGCATAAGAAGAGCTACTTTAAATGACGTTTGTAAAAGGAGTTGGAAAAGAGACAGGACTAAATCACGTCATTTATTGTACTTAAAACTTTTAGTCAGTACTGAACTATTCGATATTTTCCACACCATGTTAAGAAATAAGAGAAAGTATGTAGGAAATGGCAGGTATCTATTAACCTATTCTTATGCTGCATCTTTGCCAGTGAGGAAAAGCTATTTACTACCCTTGTTTACTAATGCAGCTTTTACATGGTCTGTAACCTCGCTGCAATTGATAGAGACTTAGTAGCAATGAAAAAACATTGAAAATACAGGTCAAAGAATAAGTCATTTAGATGTTCAAGTTAGAATGGCTTACTAGTTAGAGTGCTAGCATTCTCATGATAACTGTACATGATAATGTACATTATGTGCATCAATACATAAACAAGAGCTACCTCTAATTACATATACTGCCTATATTATACCTTCTGTACTATACCAATACTTACTTTACAGGTTCTTTGATTGTATGTTTTAAGAGAATTTGTGTACATATAATCCTTACTTTTGCCTATACATTGCATAATTTTATCGCAGTCATTTTTTTCAGATGTCTTTTGCTAAATTTCTACTGTTAAAGTGTGTGTGGGTTCTTTTCTTTAGTTTTGATAGAATTTCCCCTCTAGATGCTCTTCAGTTATCTGAAATACAGATGATTTATACCTGAAGCTCAAAAAATACTTCTGGATAGCAAATAATTCTGTTTTGGAATATGGCTTGTAAGAAGCAGTTTTCTCTGCAATAACACTACACTTACAGAGAATTCATGGCACAACTGGAATTTTAATCACATGCTTTCCCTTCTGAATTCTGTGTAGACTAATGCAGTACCAACAGCAAGCAAAGCAAGAATGTAAGAAGCAAAATTTGACACCAGATCAACTGAAAAATGGCTATATGGGAAATTTGTTATAGTAATTTTTGACTTAGGAATTTTGAGAGCTCCCTTTTAAAGCACTGTTTTCTTGCTTATATTACAGTCTGAATGATTATAATAAAATCTCTTCTAAATTTAAATGGCCCATAGTACTTCCCTTTTTGTTTCTAACCCAGTATGCAGTACTGCTGTGTGTTGTTGCACAGCTGCAACTTCCTGTCTCAGTGACTGTAGATTTTCGTTGATGAGGAGATAACGATCTCATTATTCATCTACTCAGTGTTGTGCCAAGTGAGATGAATAAAAAATATCTAAATTAGGTATAAGATCTATATCTTGACTTCCTTTCTCTTTGTTACATAGTCACTAGGGGCCTCCTCCTACTCTCAAAGGCAAAGTACATAAAGGTATCAACAGGAACCAAACTGGGTGAGGTGATGAGTCCCTGTCCTTGCCTGTAGTGCTGATTATGCCTTAAGGCGTTGGTTAGGGGAACACAGGGATCCAGGGAATCCCAACAGGTAATTTGGGCGGAGACTCAGAGCTGCTCCCATTCTACTGCCCTGCTATTTCTGGTTTTGTAGAGGTAGAACTTAGGAAGTTTTCATACCTTCAGTCATGCATTTTTTCTGTTCTGCACATTTTTGGCTGTAGCCAGAAAAAATACAAACCCTTAGCAATATTTTGTTTGCTTTGAGCCACAGACTACTAGTTTTTTGTAGCTCACTTCTCTTGAAAAGGGTGTATATACATTTGATTGTAGCAGAATGCATGACTTTGTAGTAGTTATTAAGTAATACCAATAATGACATTCAAACTTCTCCATCAGACACTGGACTCGTGGCATGCTGCTTCATGCTTCCCAGTTCTTTGTACTTCTGTATCTGTTTAGCAATAATGTGGAGTTTAAGATGTATGGTGACTTTTACAAGACTTGAGGTGTCACTCCCTACTGCTTCAAGTTATGGATTTGTAACATCTACTGGCTATTAAGGGATTTTCATCTGCTTATGGTTTCTCAGCATAGTCCTTTTTACTTGAAATAGGATGAGAAATTCAAATGAGCTCTTGAAGAAGAGTGTTGAGGATCAGCTTTCATTAACAGAGGCAGTTTGGACAGGGCTGCCAGGAACTAGCTACACTGCAGGTATCCATGCTATTCAGGCTTCTTTTCAAGCCTCTGCCATGAGGCTCAAACCAAACCTGCTGTTCTGGACTGCAGCTCTGAAACCAAGCCCAATATCAATACCTAGAAAGGTTACAGTACCTGGTGATCAGAGAGCTACCTAAGCCACAAAGTAGTTCTGTTTCCTTCTTAGAAAAAAATTCCTGGATACCAATGGAGGGCTATGTTTTAATGAGAGAAAACAGTTATTCTCAAGTACTTTTTTTCCTTTGGGGTTCATCTGACTCTATATTGCAAATCTGGGAGCCTTGTTGTAAAAAGCACATTTTAAATTGCAGTATTACTGGTCAAGTAGATTGTTACTAAAAAATAAAGTCGAGTTGTCTGGCAAAATTGTTGTGTATGTATGGATACTGTGAGTTGTAACAGAGGAAGAGAGTGCTGATGCAAGGAAAAGTTAATTGCTGGTAAAATGCACTTGCAAACCCTTTTTTCCCTTTAGGGGAAAGAAATGTCAAAGGGAAGCAAGTGTGTTCCTCTTCCAGAAGCAGCAATGTACGCAGATGTTCCTTAATGACTCTGTGTGGAGCAGTTCAAAATGTTACATGTTCTGACTGCCTATCACCAGCAGTCACTAGGAGGTTTAGCTCCTCAGCTCAGTCAGAGAGGTAGAAAATATGACCATTATTTAATAGTCTTCAGTGCAAAATCAGCCAGAAAAGCAAAACCCTCTTTCCTTCATTGTTCAAGGGAGGGATGGATGACTGTTGCACTAATATGCTCATATTTAGTTCTGTTAGCTTCACTCTTGTGGGTAGAAATTTACTGAAGAATTAACAAGTGACCTGGCACGTGTGTGAGGGCATAAACTCTGTACACCACTGTAGTGTCTTGTAGCAGGGCTATATATTAGTTCTTTTAACCTTTCCTGCTTTATTTGCCATAAAGCTATCAGACATTTCTTGGTTTTAGATGCAAAATATGATCAAATTTTAATGGTTTATTCTGGAAGCACCTAACAGCTGGGTAACTCTAACAGAACACTTCTGTGGTCTACTCATATTCCTGTTGAAAAATGTGGCCTTTTTCACATAGTTTAAGTTTATTGACCTTGTTTGCTGTACTCAGTAACCAGTGCTTGCAGTGGTTCAGCTGCTGTGCAGTTGGTTACTATGCTACCAGAGCTCTCCTGTGTGCTTGAGGCTTTTTGATCTCAACTCTCTAGAGATGTATTCAATATTCTACAAAAATGAAGGAAAATAGAATAGAATAAAAACTAGGATCATGCTTTTGGAGTAACAGTATTTTTCCTTTGGGCAAGGAATATAAAAAATTATTTCCATGTAGGCAAATAGAGAGAATCTATTTATAAAACTGCTTAAATTATGTGCTAAAAAGACCAATGAAATCAGCCATCCCTATCCCTAAGTACTCTCATTTGTTTTCATTATTTTTGTGTACAATTTGCTACCAAAGCTAGCATTATTTTTGCCTATGAGCTGACAAGAATGTGCAGGCTGATTTCTTAACTTGTCATTACTATGTTTTTCCTTAGAGAAAGTTCCTTCCTAAAAAGGAACTCCTGTATTATTAAATGCATGTGCAATGCCATAAAATTGTGTTGATCTGCTAGTCAAAAGCAGTATTAAAGCCATACTTCTGTTAGGAAAAAGCCTAGCATCTTATTTGGATAGCTAGAAATTATTATTTAAATTAATTCAAGGGATAAGAATGATATCTACGTATGGAATTACTTTCTTACCATACAAATTTAGCACTAATTATATAAAGTTGGCAGAAAATCTGATTGTCTTATTAACTGACAACTCAAGACTTCTTTATAATGGAGAGTACATAATGAATTCAAGTCTCTTTATCAATGAATACTAGTTAATGTTTATATACAACATGTTTTGCATATTATTAATATGCAAATTACAGACAATAGGCAATAAAATATCTAATGATCCATTAATTGCACAAAAGAAAGTTGCAAGCTTATAGCTTTTTCATGTTCTTTTTTTTAATAGTAATATTTAAAAGTCTCTTTTTCAGTGACACTATAACAGTACCTCTCTCCTAATATTTCTTTTAGCAAGCATGTACATGCCAGTGTTTTACAATTGTGAAAATTATACCCAAATTAGAAGTCAGTGCCAAGTCAGTTGAAGACATTCTCATGTAAATATTTTGAGCTATGTATTTTAGGCTTTTGAACACTCCAGCATTGAATATTGTATATAAAATACTTTTTTTCCATAAAGTATCATGTTCTTCCTGCCCCACCCCCAGCAATCACATCCTCATTAGTTAAAAGATTTTCTATGTTTTATTAAAACAGCTGTAACACTGAGGTAGAACTCTCTCTGTTGCCACCTCTACAGTCATATTTTAAACACGTTAAGTGTCTCACTGTTTTCCTTGCCTGTACACAAACAGACTGTCTTTAGTCTGCTTCTGAAAACTAATTAACCTGTTTTTAAGTA